AACCATCCAGTGCTGCCACTTAACTGAAACAAATTTGACATTTTGAATGGCCCCAGGAGATTGCAGCAGCTCATGGAACAAATTACTCCGCAGTCTCCGTTAGAAATGCTGCCCTGGACACTCAGGCAGAGCGCTGTTGCCAGCAGGGTCACAGAGTGTAGGAAATGCACAGGCCACTGTAATTGTAGCTCAGTCACCAAGAGTTTCACCCTCAAGCAACTTCTGAATTGCTTGCAGAGCCAAGGAAGCCAAATGCAGAGTTTTTGAGTTTAAGAAACAGATGGAATGGCTACGCCATTGCAAATTCATTTATCAACCTTTTATTGAGCACTTACTATGTGTGAGCTACTACATTGCGTTCCAGCAGAGGCCTTGGGACACGGTCCTTCCTGTCAGGGCTCCCATTCTAGCAGAGTACAATGAGGTGCCATACAGTGGGGCCCAGGAGCAGCCGTCGCAGCTGGCATCACCTGGCATCTGATGGCAGCCCCAGGGCCGCTGACTCTGGGCTCTCCGTGGAGGATGCCGCTTCTTGACTCTACTGTGTTGACGATAAATGGCCAGGAGCACAGAAGGCCTTCCCAGGAGTGACGTGTCCCCAGAGAGTAAAACACGCTCTGCCTCGTCTTCCCAGGCTCTTGGGTGTGATTATCACGGCTGTGATGTCCTCCTCGAGGGTCTAAGATTCTCCCTAGGGCTGTGAATGTGCCTTTGTCCTCAGAGAAAGGGTTCCCCTTTGTCCCCATTGTCCCAATGCACCCCTGGTTCACACCTGCCAACCAGGTAAGTAGATCCCATTTTCAATGTCAAAAGTGTCTTATTTGGAATGACAGAGGCTTCTGCTTGTCATTCACTGGAGTAATGTGAACCTTTGGATACCGATAAATAGGTGATCCTCCAAATGTGGCCCATGGCCCACAGGTGGCTGTGAGGTCCCTCTCGGGGCAGAGAATGGATCTAGGAAGGTGTCCTTCCTTTCCTGGGGCGTATCTGGTGATTGACATTGGAGTCCATTGACTTTCACTTATGACCAGAGTTGTTTACAAGGAATCTAAGGGAGTAATTGTCTTACTTAAATTTTAGCTTTGTTAAGTGGGAATTAGCTTGTTACCAGAATTTTCTGAAGGGCCTGCCTTTACAAATCCTTGATGATTGTGTAACTCTGCACAGAAGTGTAGATGTTGAGAAGCCTCACTGGCAGAGCTCTCTGTGACCCCTGGCTGCCCCAGACCGTGTCTGTGAGGTGGCCACTTCCCAGCTGAGCAGCTGCAAGGGTGTGCCTTGCAGGCCCTGCTGAACCCAGCGGCGCCATCAGAAGCATTTTCTCTGGGACCGGATGCTGTTCACGTTGCTCTTGCCCTGGAGACTCACAGTGAAGCAGCGTCCTTGTTTTCCGCAGCCTCCTGGGACATCTCCACACCCCCCAGCTTAGCAGGGGCAGACTTGACAGGAGGCACATTCTTATAGATTGTAAAGCACGTTTAGCCTGGAGTGTGGCTGTTTCTGATTACAGCAGCCTTTAATTCTGTTAGTTTCGTTCCTTCTGGATCCCCGTGGGGAGCTCTACAGTTAGATAAGACTACTCCCAAGTTCCCCTCCAACTCTAAAGCACTGTCGTTCTGTGCCAAGATGATTTAGGGGGGCTTAGCTCAGTTTGCAGGAGGACATTAATGTCTATCTGTCCCACCTTATTTGGTTTTCTGTTTTTCCTTCTCTATAACATGCCTACAACCATGGGAATATGTGTTCACATAAACAACTCTTCCCCCTCTCACCAGCCTATCTGCACTTACCTTTGCATCGACCCTCCTCCAACAAACCCCAAACCTAAATTGTTGTCCACCCTGGTCAGAGGATCCTTGAGGGCGCCAGTGGTCTCAAATGCCTACTGAGGAAATAGTAGCTTAAGGAGCATCGTCCTGCCCCAATTCAAAGCTGTCCAGCGACAACCTGGCCTCTTGTGGGGGGATCATGAGGCAGCCCCTGCTCTGCTCTGCTCAGCCCTCTCAGGGTGATGGGAGAAGCATCTGTGTATATGTGGGCAGAGAGTGGAAAGAAAAGGAAAATTTCAAGGGAAAGTGTAATTGACAAGCATATGATAATATCCTTCAGAAAGATCATGAAACCGTTGTCATCTTTTTTTGCTTAGGCTGCTGCCCTGGTTCACATTTATCTCGATGGGTCTGCACTGGTGACTCACGGTGGAATCGAGGTGGGGCAGGGCGTCCACACTAAGATGATCCAGGTAAGAATGCAAATAATTGGGTTAAATTGGGTGTGTGCTTGTAGACGTGTGTGTGAGAGAGAAACTGTGGATGTACACTTTCTGTTCCAAACTAAAAAGGGAGGAGACTCTCGCCTTGACAGCTTAGGCTGTTAGCGCTATTAGCAGAAACTGGTAAACAAGCCAGTTTTGTAACTGACCCTCCTAAAAATGGGGCAGAAGAGTCTCAGGTTGTCTTATCGCTAAAGCAGGTTGGGTGGCTGTTTGTTGCTTTCCTTTGGATATAGCAACAAGAGTGTTGTCTTTTTTGAACCTTTGCTGGGTAATAAAAAGATGTCTAAATTCTGTTGTGTTGCGTATTTCTTGCCCTTTTTATAGTAAGGACTCTGAACAGTTGATAATGTAAATCACATTTGATGTTTCTAACCAAACTTTACCAGTTTTCTTTTGGCTCATTCACTTTAGATAATTAGCTACTGTTTCTATTTTGTTAATCATAATAGTAATATTACAGATTATAGAACATTTGGAAGAGGCAAAAAATTTAAAAAATTAAAAAGACCCTGCACAGTTCCGGCACTTCACAATAGTCACTCTTTGGGGGTCTTTCCATCTTTCCCTTTTTCTTTTTGAAAAAATCACTAACATGCTGTTTATCTAATTTTGTATCCTGGTTTTTCCCCTGGTCCTTACACAGAGTGAGGACTTCCTCCTGTCATTAAGAATTCTTTGCGATCATGCTGTTTAATGGCTGCACGTGGATGTACGTATAATTTACTTAATCATTCCCGGTTGTTGAACACTTCAATGAATGTTTTTGTACATAAACCTGTGATTGGATAAATGATTATTTTCTTCAAATAGATTCTCACAAATGGAATTACTGAGGCCCAGAGTGTGTTTTAAATCATTTGACACATATTACCAAATTGTTTTCCAGAAGGTATCCGTCTCATTACACCACTAACCAACACTGTATGTTACAGATTGTTAAAAAATCTTAGAAAATTTGATAGGTGAATGATAGTATCTCATTATTGCCTTGATTCGCATTTTTCTGATTAGAGAGATGTTGAATATATATTTTCTTTCATGTTATCAGCCACTTCAGAGTTGTCTGGTCGTATCTTCCCCATTTTTGGGGTGAGACTTCAGTGTTTTCCATGTGGGCCCACCAGAGACCTTTGTGTTCTAAGCTACTCTGTGTAGACGATCTTCTGAAAGCCAATGATGTGGAAGGGATCTGTATGCTTGTGTCCTTGTCGCGTTGTGGGCAAACTCTATTGAGCTATATTGATTTCATGAAAGAGGAGAATTTTGGATGAGCTGAAGTTAGCAATGCGATGTTGCTCCCAGCACTAAAACAAAGGAAGAGCAAAGCAGCAGCTAAGTCATTGTGTTAGCGAGTGGCGCCAGCACCATTTCCTTCTGTGATCATGCGTGGTGCTGCTGCTTTTCCAAGGCCATTGTCCTTTGTCACAAGAGGCACTCTTTTCCTGGAGCATCTCCAGAAATGTGGATAAGGCATGTCCTGTCTGATAAGGTGGGCTTTGCTAGAATTTGCAGAGCGCGGTGGTAGGAGAGGCCTCCAAGGGGCTGATTTCATGATGATGAAGACGTGCGGCATTTCCTCCTGCCTTGGCTTGGGGCCTCGCCTCCTCTTCCTGAGCTATCGCACATAAGAACGTCAGAGAAAAAGATGTGTGCTCAGGGCTTGGGGTCCAGACTAGCGACAGGGTGTTTAGAAAGAGGAGCTTTCGTGGCTGGAGGAATTCATGGTTCTGTCCTCTTGTCCCCTTCGTGCATGAGGGCTTCACACACCTGCTACCACCTGGGCACGTGCTCAGGTCTATGACTAGCCAAAGTGCTTGAAAAGAAACTGTCTTCTGAAATCCAGGTGGCCAGTCGTGAATTAAGGATGCCGATGTCTAGTGTCCACCTGCGTGGAACCAGCACGGAAACCGTCCCTAATACAAATCCCTCTGGAGGGTCCGTGGTGGCGGATCTCAATGGGTTGGCAGTGAAGGTAAAAATCGTGGCAGTGGCCTCCAAATCATTAACCCATCAGGGCCAAGTACGTGGGTGGAGCTCAGAAGATGCTGAGAATGAATCCGGCTCTTATCTCCCTCCAACCCATCTTGGTGACGCCACCCCCGCCAGCCCAGCGCCAGCCCCTTCTCGGGTCCAGTCAGTGCTGCAGCCCCCAGCGGCTCCGCTGAGCTGGAAATGCCCCCTCTTTTCTCCCTCCCTCCTGACATCTCACTGGTCAGCAGGTCGGTTCAGTTCTACTCAGAAATGTCTCTGTGTCTTTCCACTTCCCTGTGGCGGTTACACAGCAGCTGTGACCCAGGCGCGCACCTCCTGCCAGCGCCATCGCAAGGCTCTTCCCTGCGCCCTGGTTCCATCGCCTTTCCCCTGGCTGCACACTGCCAAGGCGGGCTTTCCCACAAAGTAAATCTGTGCTGAGTTTAAAACAGTGGCCGGTGGTTTGCCAACAGTTTTTCTGTTAGTTCCTGACCTCTCAGCATGGCTACAAGGTCCCCCTCCCAGGGGCCCGTCTTTAAGACCAGCTCACCCTTCATCCACCCCATGCAATCTTCACATCACCTCCTACAGGGCTGGTCTCCTCCTTCGCCATGTTCCCATGGGTTCTCAAATAAGCTGATGTAATGGCACAAATCATGCAGTTTAGGAATTGGTGTTTGCATGAAATGATGATCATAATTTTAACTGAAAAATAATCCCTAGGACGCTTGCCAAACTCTTCTAAAACGCCTTGAACCCATCATCAGCAAGAATCCTCGCGGCACGTGGAAGGATTGGGTGAGAATCACTATTGCTCTGTGTTTCATGTCAGAAAAAAAAGGAGGGGGGAGAGTGAGAGAGAGAGATGTGAGAATTAAATACTGGTAGAAAGGGCTTTAAAAGGCACTACAGTTACATAGTGATACATAGGGGCCCTTTGGCTCTCAGCATGTGGAAATCTTATCATGATGGTGGAGGAACTCTTACATCTAGGAAAATTCTCTATTAGAGAAAAAGATGGTTCTTCTGTCCTGTTTTAAGCAAGAATTAATTAATGTTTCTTCCTATGGAACCTAGGTATTTTCTAGATGATAGCTGTAAATCTGTTCTCCTTTGTTGGGTTCCACTGTTTCTAAAATGGGAAGACAACACCAGAATCCTTCTATAAAAGTAGAAATCATGTAAGTGCTCATTTAGAAATAGCAGACCGAGCCATTGGGCGTACATTCCAC